GGACATGTCGGCCACGGGCGCCAGGTACCTCGCCCACGACACGGTGCTCTTCCCGGTGAACCACCAGTCCCACTTCTTCGTGGCGGCGCTCGACGTCGCCGCCGGCGAGTACCGGATCCTCGACTCCTCCAACTACGGCCGCCGCTTCGGCCCCAGATTCTACGACGCCGCCATGTCCAAGATACGGGGCGGCGTCGCGCGGTGCGTGGCGGCGGCCGGGCGGGCGGGGGCGGAGGCGGACGCCGGCGGATGGAAGCTGCGGATGGTCGCCGGCCTCCCGGCGCAGACCGACGAGTCGTCGTGCGGGCTCTTCGCGATCAAGTGCATGGAGCTCTGGGACGGGGAGAAGCTGGAGCGGGGGTTCACCATGGACGACGTGCACGAGCTCCGGCGGAAGCTCGCCGGCGAGCTCATCTTCTGGGAGCTGAACGAGATGCAGGAGGTGAAGGATGAGATCGAGTTCATGGCGAGAAAGATGATGATGATGATGAGTTCATCTTCTCCTCTGCGAAATTGCGGCGATCGTGTGAAATTGGCAACATTAGGAGGAGCGGGAGGAGTTCGTGTGTGTTACTAATAGCAGTTCTTGTTTTGAAACATGTCCAGGTTAACCGCGTTTTAGAGGATCTGATCTGACAGTAGAAATGCTGCAATGTTGTTGTTTTTTATGAATTTGTATTGAAATGTTGTAATGTTTTACTATCTCTTTCATGGAAATAAAGACTTTTTTTTTGTCTATGAGCACACTGCGTTTTTAAGCTTAAATTGGAATTTATAGGATATTATTGACTTTTGAACATACGATTGGTCGTATTGTTTATTTTGTTACAGCTTGTTTTTATTATTAAAGGTATGTTAAGTATATGTTATATTTTTTTTATATCTGCACTAAAATTTTAAATGAGATTAATGGTCAGATGTTATTGGAAAAATCAACAAACTCATAGAACTCCATCCGTCTTAAAATATATCACATTCGTTTAAAATCTCTTATTTTTTTGGGACGGACGGAGTACGTTTTAAATTGAGTGAATATTAGATGTTCGAAGGTGCATTGCAGTTTTACTTCTGTTTGGAGCAACGAAGCCTTCCATGTGATTATGTGAAATAATTCAATTTGAAAAGATTCCTTCCAGGTTTCTGTTTTCCAATTTCCATTCAAGGCCCAAACAAGAAATTTATTTCTCGCTGTTGGCGCACTATCCCATCCAAATGGACCAATGATCATCTAGATTCGTTGCATTATGATGTATTACATTCAACTAAAATCTTTATATATAGGGACTGAGGGAGTACATGAGCTGCCTGACTTTTGCTTTTGTGTCATCTGTCACTGACATCGACTAATTAATTCGAGAAGACGCAAATGAGGAATTTTGCTACACTTGGCGGTTGATTAGCATTTGGGCCTTCTAATTATGCGTGATTGAACTTTGCACGTTGTTTCTTTGCCAAAGAGTGGTTTTTCTACGCTTTATTAGTGCTTTACAGATCAACTGAATGGTGGTTCGAGTCACCACAATGTCCTTTGGATGTTCACAAATCACAAATACTTCCTCCATTTCACAATATAAGTTATTCTAACATTTTCCATATTTATATTAAAGTTAATGAATCTAGATAGATATATATGTCTAGATTCATTATCATCAATATGAATGTGGAAAATGCTAGAATGACTTACATTGTGAAACGGAGGGATTGTGAAACGGAGGGAGTAGTGCTTAGCACTGTTCGTTTCAGAGGTTGGAGGAAGGAGCAATTGACTTATCGCAAAAGGCACTTAATTGAGAAATTAGTTAAATATTAACTATGACAAAATTAAAAATAAAATTATTTATTTTCCTTAAAGAAACTTCTATATAAAATTTTACTTTTCAAAAATCACAACATTTAGCAATTTTAAAAAGCGTGATCGCAATAATTTAATATAGCCAATAGCTGAAAAGAATCATGGCGCCTAATGGGTTGGTCTCAGAGTGAAGCAAGACAGTTCACCTTACGAATCTTTGGAGATAATCCGGAGTCACTTCCTTACCATCTGGTACCCCAAAGCCAGATGAAAAAGCCGCAAACCAAGATTTGAAAAGATGAGGTTTGAGCACCAACTGTTTCCTCGGCTTCATCATCTCCGAGAGAGCAGTTCAAATCAAATTGCTGGCTCAGGGGTTAGTGAAGTGAAGTGCAGATACCATATGACACGAATTTAAGTTTACGAAGTACTCCTTTCGTCCTCTAATATAAGAGATTTTGACATTTTGCTTACACTGTTTGACCATTATTACTTAAAAAAATTTAGAATTATTATTTATTTTATTTATGACTTAATTTATTATCTACAGTACTTTAAGCACAACTTTTCATTTTTTATATTTACATAATTTTTTTTAATAAGACAAGTGATCAAATCTTACAATTAAAATATTAAAATCATTTGTATTAGGGGGCGGAGCGGCGGAGGGAGTATGAACTATGATCAATAATGAATCGTGGTGGCATTTTGCATCATGCCATCATGTAGGGTTGACTGCCGAAAATAGGTAGATGAAGGGGGTCTAGCTTGTAGATTTTAGATGGTGTTCTTTTCTCCTGAAAATGAAGATGAAAATTAAGTTTTTTTACGCAAAACGATATGGTATTAATGTATGATTGATTGAATTTTAATTATTATAAACTTGAAAAATAGATTAATATGATATTTTAGGGCAACTTTCATATAGAAAGTTTTCGCACGAAACGTACCGTTTAGCAGTTTGAAAAACGTGCCACGAAAATCTTAATGTTCATCCAACTCTTATTGAAGAAAAGATCAGGATTTTTTAGAAACAACCCCACCTTTTGGCTTACAATTATAATCTGTAACGGCTTATTAATATGAAGTAATTTATAAGTAAATTTTTTTGATTTATATGTTCTATCAGGTATAGTAAGCATCGTGGAGTACTAAGAAGAACACTGAATAAAAAATATTTATTATTTTGCTATGTATTTGTCCTCACCTCTCTCTTCATGCTATTATTTGCTAAATGGTATTTCCTCCATTTTATACTTATATAAGTCGTTTGATTTTTTCTTAGTATTTAACTAAATTTATAAAAAAATAGCAACAACTGCAACACCAAATTAGATTCATTAAATTTAACTATATTTTATATTATAAGTCGTTTGAGATTTTTTAGTATTGAAAATGTAATTATATTTTCTACAAACTAGTTTAACTAACAAAAAAAAAGTATACGACTTATAATATAAAACAGAGAGCGGGAGTATACTATTATTGCTTGTTATCCATTTGTAAATTTTTAACAATAGTTTTTGTTGTGGTTGGTAGAGATACATTGGTCTGCCTGCCGTAGCAGAGTTTGATTAAGCTGGGATGTACTAATTGATCATTTCTCACATATAAAGCGTATAAATTATATTAGTACTTCAAAATACTCCTATACCGTTAGCACAGCAGCATTTTAACCCCTTTTGTTTTTCACTGATATCTACTCCCTCCGTCACATAATATAGGGATTTTAAGTTTTTGTTTGCACTTTTTATCACTTGTCTTATTTAAAAATTTTAGAATTATTATTTATTTATTTTTGACTTGCTTTATTATCTAAAGTACTTTAAGTACAACTTTTTATTTTTTATATTTAAACAAATTTCTTGAATAAGACGAGTGGTCAAACAGTGCCAAATGGAGTAACATATGATATAATAATCTCATTAGACATAGCATAATCTGACCCACAGCTCGCCGTGGCTAACAACGCATGTCACCTTCCAAACCCGAAACCCAAAACCGGCGAGCTGCGCCGCCGCGGCGACCGGCGGAGCTCGCGACTGGCGGCGGCGGCGGCTGCTGCTAGTGCCACTCCAAGCCTCCGAGCGTGATGGACCCCATCCCCTCCCACATGTCGTCGGTCCACCCCACCTCCTCGCCGTCGACGCCCTCCATCTCGCCGTGCCACCACCCGCCGCCGCTCGCGTCTGAAACCAAGCCACCACGCCGTTCAAATTTCCGTCACAAAATCGAGAGAGCGAACGAGAGAGGGGAGAGAGATTACAGTGGTTGTACGCAGCTTGGTCGCCGCCCTCCTCGCCGCGGCCGGTGGGCCCCGCATGCCGCCGCCCCCGCCGCTGCCTTCTCGTCGTCGCCGTCGTCGTCATCGTCCTCGCCGCGGGCCTCGGCTTCGGGTCGTCGCCGAGCACCACCACGCGCTTGCCGCTTCCGCCGCTGTGGTGGTCGTCGCCGCCGCCGCCACCACCTGCGAGGGAGATCGACATCGCGTCACGGATGAGTGGTGAAAGCCTGAAAGGGGGAGATGGGATTCGAGAGGCGAGGCGCGCACCGAGGGGGCTCTTCCGCTTCCTGGTCTCGCGGCGGCGATCCCCCGCCGCGATGTCCTCGATCTCCAGCCGGACGCCGCCATCGCCGTCTCCCGCGGCCTCCGCTCTCGGCACGGGGGCTGAGCTGTTGAACCGCCTGAACAGCGCCGCCGCGTTGAGGGCGCCGCCGCCGGCGCCGCTCTTCCCCGAGGAGGAGGAGGAGCCCACCGACGAGAATGCGCTCGCCTTCTCCTGCCAGATCCCGAAGCATTTCCAGAGTTACACCGCGAAGGAAGGGGAAGCATCGGATTGGTTTGGTCGATTGGTTACCTTGACGATCGCCTTGGTGGTGACTCGGATGATCTCCCGCTTCGGCGGTTGCGGCGGCGAGATGGCCTCCTCCTCCTCCTTCTCCGGCGGCGGCGAGATCGGCTTCACTTCCTCATCGACAACGCTGAAGGATTCAAGGGCAAATGTAAGAAGCGAAAAGGATGGGGAAAAAAATTGGGGACAATCTGAATTCGAGGTAGCTTCTTTCCCTACCTGGATTTGAAGAGGAAAGATTGGAGGGTGGTCTGGCCGCCGGTCGATCGGATTCTGCTCGGGTAATTCTTGGTCTGCTTCTTCCTCATTCTGTCCCCTTTCATTCCCCCCAAATTTTCGCTTCCCAAATCTCAGAGCTACTAGGCTTTAGCGGGGAGCAAAGCGCCATTTGAAAATGGTTGGCGCCAAACTGCTTCAAAATTCACGATCTCCCGCCAAAGTTTTGGGCTATTGCTCTCACTAGTCAGTACTCAGTAGCTAGTAGCTACACAACACAACATATGAACGCACAAGGCACGCGCAGTCTACTTCATCCAAAGTATGAAATTCGCAGTGTAGAATTCATTGTTCGTCTACTTTTGAGTTTTGATTCATGAGCTTGCGGTACATCCAGAAGGTGAACAGCAGCTGTGCCACTGAGATGATCAGGAGGATGGCCACCAGCACTGGCCAGATGCTCCACTTGGTCCTGGAGCCATGCTTTCTATGGCGTCGGCGACGGTGCGAAGCCATCCTGCGGTAGTGCTGCATCGTGCTGAGGAACCGGGCTTTCAGGGTGTCCGTGTCGGTGTCGGCCCAGATGGCGGTATACACCTTTGGTGCCTGATGGGAGTCGTTGTATACTGGGGTTTTGTCATCGGCAAGGCCAGGTGCTGCATTTCTTGAGGATCTGTTTTTCAGGGTAGCTTCTAGTTTCTTCGTTGCTGCAGTGGTATCAATGACATGAGATTTAGGGTCAATTGGCAGTGATGAAGAGCGAGTAATATTCACTGTTTCAGCATGTGGGCGTTTCAATGTTTTGACAACTTTCTCAGAGATGTTGCTCGCCATCTTCTTCATGGATGCATCTGTGTCGTCACTTGGATTAGTAGTCTGTTGTTTGCAGTCTAAGGTGGCAGTCAGTTTGCAAGGCCCTGATGCGCAAGTAGTTTTGGTAACACCTTTCGCTTTAGGTTCTTCATTATTTAAGTTGGCCGACAAACTTGTGTTGCTGCTCTCTGTCTGAATGCAATTGTCACTGATAGAAGTAGAAGTACTGCTGCCAACATCTGGTAAATGTGGGTCATCATGGAGTAAACTGGAAGGCAAATCTTGAGCAGTGTCAGTAGCATGTACTGTTTGTGAATCTGCAGGGTTTAAGGTATTACAAATATTGGCACCAGCAGATTTCTTTGATACTTCAGTTTTTATTGCAGTAGCAGAAGCATCGATCTCATTTGCTTTGTGTAGACGATTCTCTGTGATCGCGCTGGATGGATGATTTGCAGCCTTATCAGCATCAGAAACATCCTTTTCTATCTGGCTTATTGTTTGCCTGGAACAAGCCAAACTATCAGGTGACTTATTCTCAGTTCCATGATAGTCTGTTGCTTTAGAATTATTCTTTGTTGCTTTCATAGGTTTGACTGTTTCGGGAATGCTTTTCTCCACAGAAGTAGTTGACATCTTATTTGCAGAGTCATGAACTCTCTCAATGTGCTTACGGTCATTGATATTTGCAGATTTATATCTTCCTTCCTTTACTTTTTCTATGACAGAACCAGATGTGTCAACTTTCTGCTTACTAGATGCATGTTCTTTGCTTCGAAATGAATCGAGGCTCAGATCTTGATCAGTTTCAGTAATGCTGATTGCTTGAGACCCTTCTCGGACCAACTTATGACACATTGTGGCAGCAGATTGAATAACAGAAGTACCTGGAGCAGTTTTTGCAGGAGGATCCCTTTTCATCTTGGATCCCGCTTTATCATTATGATCATGAGTAACAACAGGATGAAGTTTCTCCAGTACGGTGTCAGATTTAGTTGTATCATCAGGAATCAGAACTACTGGATCTGCACCTTCCTCTTCCTCATCCTCATCTCCTTCGGGGACTTCTTCCAGCTTATGCAATCGGCGGCCAGTGGATCTTGTCATGAACCTCTCCATATTCCTATCCGGTACATTGTCTTCACTCCTGGCAGTTCCTGTCTCCACTAATTTTGAGCTGAAGAAGCCATCGATTTCTGCATCTCGATCAACGTTTCTGCTCTCTATTGATGCATCGTCAACTTTATCAGAATCTGCCACACTCCTTTCTGCATCACGGCTTTCTCGAATACTCGCGCTGCCCTCAAAGATCTTGAGACTCTTGGAATAGTATATGTAACTAGAGTCATTCGAGTATCCATGAACTTGTGCAATGTCCTTGATCACGGGCCAGTCAGGACCATCAATCAAGCACCTCTTCAACAGTTCAGTTGTGCTCATGAATTCCAGTGAGCAGAGCTTCGATGCATGTGCCTGGATCCATCTCGGCATCTCCTGCAATTCATGATCGAAGATGTGCACCTCTTGCAGCCTGTTGATGTTGTCCACAGTCTCCAGCGACGGACAATGGCATATGTCAAGATCTTCGAGGGAAGGCAAGTTGCATATTTTCTTCAGATTGGGGGTGTTCCAAACACTCAGTTCCCTCAGTGCAGCAATGTTCTCAACAGCCTCAAGGCTCTCCATGTCCACAATGCGCAGCTCAGTCATGGATGTCACATGCCTGAGGCCATCTGGTAAGCATCTCAGCTTGGGGCAGCTTTCAAGCTGCAGAGCCTGCAGAGATGGCAACGCCCCTGCCTCAATGCTCGTCCACGTCTCCAGATTATGCAAACCTTGCAGGTGCAGGTCTTCCAGCTTTGGAAATGGTACCTGATGGGAGTTGTCTGTGTCCATAAGCTGAGCATCGATATCCTTCAGCGCTGAAGAATCGGCAATGCACAAAGATCTCAACTCTGGCAGACGACCTAATAGAGGAAAAGATTGGCAGAAATTGCATCCGGTTATATTCAGTCGGAGGAGATTTGGCAGGCAGGTCGATGACAGCCATGTCGGGAACTTTGTCCCAAAGTAGTTTGCAATCTTCAGCGACTCGAGGCCTCGTGGCGGTTTCAGCTCTTGGAAGATATCCTCTATATTTCGGACCACTGTCGGTATCTGTAATGTCTTGACGGTGCCGCTGCACGACAGTTCAAGCTCTCTGAGTCCTGTCTTGGCATGAAGAGCTACTTCAGCTGCCTTGGACTGACTAGTGGCCTTCTCAAGCCTCTTAACATGGAGTGTCCTTAGCTGACACAAGTTCTTGAGCTCATCCAGAGGCCACCCACTCCTATCCTGTGCGGTATCCTGTACGGTACGCGCCTCTTTGCTCGTCACGGTGAAGCATCGGAATGATGTGAGGTTTCTGAGATGGCCTACTCTGAATGCCGCGTCTTTGATCACAGTACCTGTAAGATCAAGGTCTCTGAGCCCCTTCAGATGCTCTATCCCTTTTGGCAACACATGCAATGCCTTGCACTCTCTTAGCAGCAAGAATTTGAGGCTCCACAGATTGCAAATGGTTTCTGGAAGCGCCTTGATCCTTGTCTGGGACAGGTTCAAGAACCTCAGGTATAACAGATTCCCCAAAGTCTCTGGAATGACCTCCATTGCAGTTTCAGTAAGGTCCAAGACTTTCAGGTATAGCAGCCTTGTAAAGATGTTGCTCCCAATTGTCAGTGGATTTCTCTGGAGCAGCAGCGTTCTTACACCCTCAAGCTTCAGAACCTCCTCTGGTATTGCAGCAAGGTGGTTCCTCGGAAACGAGACGTGCCGTGGCGCGAAGGGGGCGTCGCCGTCGCTGGGCAGCCGCTGCGCCTGCGCATCGCCGGTGAGGTTCTCGCCATGGGAGAGCACCTGCGCCATGGACCGCAGCGTGTCGTGCATCGTGCACCGCTCGACGCAGCCGTGCCGGTCGGCCTCCGCCGGCTGGAGGAGGTTCCTTCCGATGAGCTCGTCGTAGTACTCCTCGGCCACCTCCTCGACGCCGGCGTCTCCCCTGATCTGCACGAAGCCCTCGGCGATCCACTGCTGCACCAGCGATCTCCTGTCGACGGCGAAGTCCGAGAGGAACAGCGAGCAGTAGAGGAAGCACTGCTTCAGGTGGCACGGCATGTCGTCGTAACAGAGGTACAGCGGCTTCATGGCGTCGTCGGGGAGCCCCTTCACCTTCCACGCCGGGCTCGCGTCCACCACCGCCCACTCCTCGGCGATCGCCTCCCGCGTCCTCAGAACGCCGGCGACCGCCCTGATCGCCAGAGGGACGCCGCCGCACTTGCCGACGATCCTCCGGCCGACGCCCCTCAGCGCCGCGCCGCCGTCGTCGGCGACGCACGCCGCCACGCGGAGCAGCGCCCAGCCGTCGTCCTCGCCGAGCCTGTTCACGCGGTGGACGTGGCCGGCGCCCATGTCCCGAGCGACGCCGGCGGTGACCGCGGTGACCAGCACCTTGCTGCCGCGGCCGCCGCGCTCGAGTAGCCGCCTCACCAACTCCTCCCACTCGCCGCCGTTCCTCACCTCGTCGAGCACGAGCAAGAACCTCCTGTTCGCCACCAGGGCGGCCAGCATTCTCTCCAGCTCGGCGACGGTCTCGGCGCCCGTCGTGGCGCCGCCGCCGTCAACGACGGCCTCGACGACCTGCGAGAGCAGCGCGGCCTCTCGCTTGCCGTCCTCGACGCAACCCCTGGAGACGTGAACCCATGACCTCGTCTCGAATCTTCGCTTCACCCTCTCGCTGTCGAACACCACCTTCGCCAGTGTGGTCTTGCCAATGCCGTCGGGGCCGTAGATGGCCACGACGCCGCCGCTGTCTGGCTGCGTCAGCCGGCGCACGAGGCGGCGCGCGTCGTCCTCCATTGCCGTGCCGACGATGTCGATGTCGGTGGGTTCGGATTTCCGGTGCCTCAGGATCTTCCGTGGATGGTCGTCAGTGTGATCGGCGACGGATGCCTGGAGCTGCAGCTGCCGCTGCTCCTTGATGATGGACTTGAGCTTCTGGCTGACGTTCTTGAGGTCGGCGGCGATGTCGCGGCGCGGCTCGGCCACGTCGCAGCAGGTGGACAGCAGCCATGGCAGTGCCTTCTCGCCGGAGAACAACACGAAGCAAAAATTAGCTGCTCTGCGACGCCATTGTCACCAAGGTGTTCTTGCTTTTGTCGGAATTCAAGGCTAGCGATCTCACCTGGTTATGCTGCTGCAGCTGCTGCTCCCGGCCCCTCGTCAGGCGGCGCGCCGTGGCCCTGCACCGGTCGACGGCGACGTCGGCCTCGTACGCCGCGGCGCGCACCCTGGCGAGCCACCGCGCCGCGGCGTCGCTCCCGCGCGCCACCCGCGCCTCGGCGTCGCGCACCGCGGCGCCCACCTTCTCCAGCCTCGCCCCCAGCTTCCTCGCCTCCGCCTCCACGCCCAGCTGCCGCGCCACCTCCCCCTTCACCACGCTGCGCCACTGCGCCGCGGTGTCCGGCACGAACGCGCCGAGCACCACGGCCATGGCCGCCGCCCGCCGCCGATCAAATCGGCTCCGATCGCGATCGATCTCCCCTTCTCGCCGCGACGATCGATCGATCGATCGATCGGTCGTTGGGAAGAAGACGACGACGACCGTGAGGGGATCAGGCCGCGCGAAGGTCAGACGGAAAATATATTGGTGAAAATACCACAAAGTTTAGAATGTAATTACGTCGCTGGCCTCGCGTCATGACTCATGACCCGATGCGACAAATGCTGCGTTTAGGTCTAAATTAATCGTGTAATCAATTGATCGCAGGATAAGGCTGCAACGCATTATGAAATTAACTCGATAGTAACATGTGTGTATTTGGAAGTATAATTCCGTGAAATACAGAGATAAATATGTACTACTGGTATTGTGATGGTATATCTTAGAATAGTTTGTTCTTTATTGTTCCCTTCTAGGTATAAAATAAAAGGGACAGACCTCCTACTTCATTTACATATAAAAAAATTGTTTTTCAATTGATGGGAAGGTTTGTGGCTGAGATGCATAGAACTGAGGATGCGTATAATACAGATATTTTATGGCTGGAATTTTTTTTCACTACTAGGTTAGATTAGATAGGAAATGATCTTCAAAGAAACAATTATATTTGGAATTGTTCTCTGAAACGCAGAGAGAATAAGTATGTAATATATCTTTAATGGGAAGGTATGCGTCTGAGCTGGAATAGGTGTATTTTGTGGTTGAAGATTTCGAGCAGGTTACATTAGGAAATGATCTTCAAATTAACAAGTATATTTAAAGAAAAGAAAATTAACTGCAACACAGAGAGAGATATACGTATTGCAATATTCCTTTACTGGGAAGGTACGGGTATGGATTGGTATAGGACTGTATTATACGCGTAGATACAGGTGTATCTCGTGGTTAATATTTTTAATTTAATTAGCACGTTACATTAAATAGAGATGGGAGTAGCTATTGTCAACGACCAATGTGCTGTTTGGTAGAGGTAATTTTATAACTGCTTATTGCGAGAAAAATATATTTTGCGTTGCAAAATGAAGGTCTGTCAACCAATTGATTCCATCGAAATTAATTAAGTAGCTAACAAGATGCGTAGTCCCAATTACGTGCTATATTATGCGTCACGATTACATGATTCCGGTAGTTGTCAGGAAATTAAGACCAAGACGCTAAAAAAAATAAGATGATCTACCGGAGCTATAGGCTATAGCTAGCACTAGTTGTTAGCATTGCAAAGTACAAGAGTTGACATCCGATGGAAAGCATCTGTAGAGTCTCATTGTGTACGGCTTCTCCGTGCCACGGTCATCACAAACATCATACTTGACCAACATAAATAATGAAAATAATACTGATTAATCGTGTTTATACATAATAACAACGCTCACATCATCTAACTTGAGTGAAACATAAAAAGGCCACACGTTTGTGTGACGCCCTGGGCCGCCACCAGCAACCACTCCTCGTGTGTGTTCACCGGAAGGGAAAAAGTCCACTTTACATTCCTCACAGTATATAACGCAGCCGAAACCGGCAGACCGGTTCCCGGTTGCTCACCAGAAGGATATCAAGTTTCATTTGTATCCTTCAACCGTATAATCGAGTGTAAAGTAGGAGTATTCTCCAACTATCAAAACTAGTCCGAATCAAGCTCCTCGATGATTTGGATGCCAATTTCATCCTAGATGGCATGACCCTCACTGCTCTCACTTTGGCCACCACTGTTGTCCCTAATTAATACTCGATCGGATTTGGCATGGCGGCGATGCCTCAGACACGGTTGTCGGAAGGAGGGGGTGGCAGCGAGGGTGATTAGAGAACTGCCATGCACTTCCCTTTGCTTATTCCCACACCACAGCCAATGTTGCTCCTTTGTCACTCGCCGTTGCTTCTTGCCGCGCCATCACTCACCTACTCCCTGCTCCCTCCGTTTCAGAATCCGTTTCAGAATGTAAGACTTTCTAGCATTGCCTATATACATATAGATGTGAGCAATACTAAAAAGTTTTACGTTGTGAAACAGAGGAAGTACTCCGTAGTAGGAAAGGTTGAGAGCACACTAACATGTATTCTCCTTCCAGTGACACGTAAGCATCACGTATGTGCCTCTTAGAACCAAGTCAACAGGTCGTAGGACAAAACTAATTAGAGACTCGATTTGCACTGGTTTTAAAAGTTGAGGAACACTCAATATCGGCTTTTGCAGTTAAATGGACAAAGAGTAAATTTCACAAACCTATAGATACGTCAACCAAACTATTGCAAAACTAAAAATTTTAAATGTTATATCGCAAACTAAAGATTGAGTGGAAAAGTTATAAAAAAACTACATATTAAAGAACAAGTATCACAAAACTACATATTGAGTGAAATACATGGCCGGCCCCTAAACTTATGTGGTGGTGTCACTTAGATCCGTGAACTTGGTTTAATGTACCACCCCCGATCCAAACGTCCTTTGACTACATTTGACCACCAACGTGGCATGCCACGTAGGCATCACTTTTGCTCTCAGCCCCCTCCACATCACAACACGTCGCATATATCTCCTTGTTGCTATATAGTGACACCAGAATCCCAAAAAAAAAATCCTCAAATCGTTCTTTCCTCTCATTCTTCTCCTTACATGTACAGAAAATATGGTTCCGATTAACGTTAATTGTCATTGCTCTGCGCTCCAAAATAACCTTATCCTTGCACAGCGGACACTTGATCAACAACACCTTCTTCTAGCGACTTCAAGGCGAGGATGAGCTTGGAGAATCCATGGGGATGCCTAGAGTGCAAGCCGCATTGCGCTGTCTCCGCCGCTAATCCGGCCGCACTATGCCACCGCTAACCCCGCTACACCGCGCTGCCTCCTGCCGCTAATCTCACCGCTGAGGCCACCACAGCCGCTACCTCTCGGCCTCCTTCCGCTAACCTCACAGTCGAAACCCTAGCCGATTTAGGGATATTTTGAGGGATTTGGGTTGAAATGCACTGGTCAGGGCAAATTATGTGCGAAGATATATGTGGAGGGGGCTGAGCACAAAAGTGTTGCTTGCCACCTTGGTGGTTAATCGTGGTCAAAGGACCATTGGACCAGGGTTATATTAAACCAAGTTCACGGATCTAAACGTGCAATTTTCACACGGACCTAAGTGACACCATCCCATGTATTTCACTCCTACATATTTAATATTGAAGCTATCACAAAACTATGGATTGTAGAGTTTAAATCCCTAGCACCGCCATTGTGTAGGAGCTATGTAAGTTACGGACCTGTAGTTTTTTTTTGTGATGATTGCTACTTAACCTCTATTATTTTTTGACACTCTATCTTAAATCTATATTTCTAAGAGAAATTTCACGTTAAATATGTAGTTTTCGTTATGCAACTGCAACACCTTAAATTTATATAGTTTTACGCTAATTTAGTCAAACCAACGAGCAGTTCTGTTGAAATTTAGTAATGGACAAATGGAACTCGGATTATAGTTGAGGGATATAAAATTGAAAATGCTTGATGTCAGTCGCCCGATGGAAGGGAAAAGTTATCAGGCTGTTATCCCATCCTCAGTCATGCCTACCTGACATACATGCAAGTCACTGAGGAGCAGGAAGCAACTAGGAATCGGGGTGACGTCATCATGCATGCATGTTAAACTTTTTAAGCGAACTTTAAACCGATTTTTCTCTTAAATTACTTATCCAAATCATGATTCAATTGCACCATTAAATTCGTTGCAATCAAATCTTCAAAACAAGACCACACATGGATATATTCCGACGAAAAAAATTAATTTATTATTGAATTTTTTTAAAATGTTGTACGATGTTCCACCAGATATATCGGAATGGTTTCACTAAGTAGATCGAAAATATTTCACTCGTTTAAATTGGATGTTGTTTCAACTTATATAAAAACAATGTTTCAGCAAATAGCGAAAGAATGTTTCAGTTCACTGCAACATTAGATCTATACATAGTGAAACATTGTGAGTACACTAGGTTAAACATTTTTCGGTGGAACAAAAAAAAATAAACCAAATTCCCTTAATAGGAGATGTCCAAAATATGTGGGCTTTTTGTTGCAATGGAATGTTTCGTTCAGTGCAACATTAGATCTATACATAGTGAAACATTATGAGTACACTATGTGAAACATTTTTGGTGGAACAAAATATAAAACGGATTTCCTTAATAGAAGATTTCCATAATATGCGCGTGATTTGTTGCAAGGGCGTCTTCTATAATATCAAAATCTATTGCAACATTTGATCCGTACACAGTGAAACATCACAAGTACACTAGCTGAAACAACGTAAAACTACTGATTGAAACATCAAAAGAGACCATATGCAACATTCAAAAAAAATATCAATAAAAAAGCTAAAATATTTTTTGTCGAAATATAATCATGTGTGGTCTTGTTGTAAAGATTTAATTATAACGAATACAACGGTGTAATCAGATCGTGAATTGGATAAGTAATTTAAGAGAAAAAATAGTTTGAAGTTTGTAAAAAATACTGTAACCATCCTACTATTGTTTAGTGCTATTAATGCATGGCTTCTTTTGATGCAGTGGCTTGCGTCTACGTGGTGGCAGTAAAAAAGCTGGGAGGACTGGAAGAGGCGCCCGATTTTTTTATTAAAAGATCGGGCGCCCGATCCCTATATGGATCCATATAAAATGGACCTTATTTACATATAAATAAAAAGGCCGAACGGTTTATGTGTCGCCTCCCTGGGCCGGCCGGCATAAGCCGTGCGGGACGCAACGGAAGGAATAAGTTCATCGGAGGTCCCTCAATTTAACAGCGAGATTTTTTAAAGTCCCTTAAGGCCTCAACCACAAAACCAGAAATGTTCGCCCCTAAAATTTCACAAACCGTTCACGGGAGGTCCTATAGGGGTGGTTTCGCTTACGTGGCATCCTAGTCAGCAAAAGTAAATAAATAAAGTATATGGGGCTCACATGTAAGTGAGAGAAAACGGTACGGGCCCCACATCCCTTCTTTTTTTCCCTTTCTTCTCTTCTCTCTTCTTCGACGACCGAGACGGGCGGGGCGATGGCCGGCGGACCGCGGGCGACCACGGCGGGAGATGGGGGCAGGTTCCGGGACGGGCTCCTGCTCCGGGAGGGGATCCTTGCGGCCGACGGGGATGTTGCCGCCGGTGGCGGAGGGATCAGAAGGGGGTGGTGGTCGAATGCCGAGCACGCCGAGGCCGGCCCTGAGCTTGCCGGGGATGCTCATGAGGTTGAAGAACGGCAGGTCGCCGGGCTTGGACGGCACCGGCCTTAGCTTCCCCTCCCACAGCACAAACCGCGGCGCGTTGGGGTCCCCGAACACGAGGTCGTCCTTGAGCCCGCTATCCACCGAGCGCGCCCTGTGGGCAGAACGGAGGCGAGCGGCGCGGCGGCACGCGTAGCGACGTTGGACGGCGGCGGGCGA